TACGGTCGAATGTTCTAGCAGCACTGCCAATACATGAATGAAATTAGATCTTGATCAGCCTCCTCTTTGATTAGTACTCAAGACATGACTGACAAGACACTTTCTACCGTTGGGTCTTTTTTAACAAATTCATGGATGTGATTACATTTCACTAGTTGCGGACCCTGCCAGCAGAAAAGCTTGTTTTTAAGTGACATACTGAGTATCGATGATTTGTGGCTGGTTAAGTGGACTTTACCCCGCATTTTTTATATTCGCATTCCACACATGTTGTTCTTTCAAACTACTTCATTGGTCAGACCAAGTTATTCTCTTTTATTAGCAGCACCGCCACAGACGTAACCTGTTTTGATCCGGTTCGACAATGATGATGCATTCTCCTAGTATTCTTTCACACTGACATGGGTAAAAGCGAAAGTCAGATCACGATATACCCCACTAGAGTGAAAACAGGCTCTCAAAACTACCGATCTTGTTTTCTTGGTACTGTCATTGCTGCATTCGGCTGAAAGCACGCGGCTATTGGAACAATATATCCTTGTTTTACCATTCCAGTTGACGTCTGTCATGTATGCCAACTCTTCCAAACTCACACAGGGTCTTTCTTTGAAGGTACCCTAGTAGACATCCTTCAATACCGGTACTACCCTTCAATTAGATCATCTTATGACATATTAGCTCATCGATGAGTGATTATAAGTAGCGGTCTAATATCCTCCGTTTTCACTCGTATCAAATAAACATTCAATCTCACAATTGGCTCCTATCTAAAAACTCGACAACAGAAATAGAACACCTTAAACACATGTCTACATACAACAACGACGATTCCTACGACACCACTGGTCGCCGCGGTGCCCCTTCTAGCGCCGATGATTCCTTCGCAAACACCACAGGGGGGTTTGGGAATGAGAGCCGCGGCAATGACACTAGCGCCCGAGGCGTTGCAGGCACCGGCACATTTGACGATCAGGATTCTGGAGCATATGGAGGATCTTCTACTCAAGAAAGCCGTGGCTTCAACACCGGAAACTCTGTTAGTTACACTTCTAGTATATTTCTCGACTATTGCTAATATGACGTAGGGAGGATTGAGAGACAACGAGTTTGGCTCGAGCAACTCCAAGTATGGAGGAGATCTCGGCGATGACACTAACAACTTCGGAACTGGTGGAAGTGAGCGAACTTCAGGATTAGGTGACAATACCTCTTCTGGCTTCGGAAATACTTCAACCTCCCGCTCTGGCTACAATGATAACACTTCATCTGGTCTTGGAGATTCGAGAATTGGTGGAGCTTCCTCCGGTTATGGAGACAACACCTCTTCAGGCCTTGGCAACACTTCTACTTCTCGTTCTGGATATGGAGGAGATGAGTCAAGTGGTTTGGATAGTTCAAGATCAGGCTATGGAGACAACACCTCGTCTGGATTTGGTGATAAGACCTCTACTGGCTACGGAGATAGCACTTCGAGATCAGGCTATGGAGACAACACCTCCTCCGGATATGGCGATAAACCTTCCTCTACTCTCGACTCCTCTCGTACCGGATACGATGAGAACACATCCAGCGGCATTGGTGGAAATACCGACTCATATGATTCAAACAAGACCCGCTCCGGTAACACCTACGGTTCTTCTGGCAACACTGGCTCGCGCGACTTTGACAACACTTCGAGCTCTAACACCGGAAAGTCTGGTGATTCTACCATGGGCAAGATGATGGAGAAAGCTGGACATGCGCTTCACAAGGAGAATTTGGTAGAGAAGGGCGAGGCTAAGCGTGCCGCTGCTGGAGGTGATAATCACTAATCTATGGCCTGGAATGATGTACCGGGACGGAATGGATAAATTGATATGTTATCTTGTATGATAGTTTGCTTGTTTGATTTTAGCAGATACGAATTAATGACTATTTACTTTTCCCGCATCTTCGTTTCCAAATCGCATATATGATTACCACTTCATTTTACTTGACACGTTCTCTTATTACTCGTCTATGATGATAATTTTCCTGTGTCAAGCTTCTGTGGCTTACTTTTGGAGAATCAATTTGATCACACAAAGCCCTGCATCTTGACGCAACATATTACCCAAGCGAATGCGTCGCCACCTTTGATGTACATGCATAAGCACATTTATTCACATACGTTGTGTAATGTGGTGATCTACTGTGCATAAAGATAATACTGCATACATAAATCCTACGTCATCAACTTTTTCAGAGTTCTTTGAACGCGGAATTTATCACATGTGATGTGAATTTACAAGATACTGTGACAATGAGATATCTTAAAACCTAATCATTAGTGGAATTGTTTGGAAGAGGGATTTCGGAAGTATGAATATGCATTACCTCGTTAGACAAGTACTTTAGTAGTCGATAACATGGCACGATTTTGATAAGTGTACTTGGGTGATGCTCGGCTAAAGCCCCTTCACTTCATTGGCATCATGATTGGAAGTAGTGTGTGCACGAATAGCTATATCTGAAGTAAAGTTAGACGTCTCGATGTCTGCACGTGAAAAGTAGTTTCAAACATTGATAAGACCAATAACATGAAGTCTAGAGGGAAGGGAGCGGTGGATTGATCCATTTTATTCTCTTCCGTCCAATAATTATTATTATTCAATTTCACTCTCGCTACCATTCCATTAATATAACTATCACCTAATATATCTTCATCACATCATCAGATTATTGACTCCTCCATCTAACCTTATCACAATCTACTTCTAATTTCCCCTAACCCTCCACTCATGTATGGCCCAACATCTCGAGTTTCCCTACCGAATAGTATCTGGTCTCTACCACCCCATATACTCCACCATCCGACACATAAAGCGCTCCTCTCCACGTCCATCTCCCCACTCTCCAAGACTTCCCAGAATCTTGCTTTGCATCGTTCTCTCATGTAAGTATCCTCGATAGAATTCAAAAGGTCAGCTGATATTGGTAACCATGCCTGTAGAACATCGAGGGGAAGATTGGGCAATGCATCAAGTAGTGTGAGCATAAGGTATGCCTGTTCAGAGAGAGGCGTCTGACTATCTTGCTGGCTGGCGGTGTCTCTCGCATATACAGATGGTGGTAGTGGTGATGTAGGCGCATGAGTTGCACGGTGATGAAGCATTTCTAGAAGGGTCTCGGCTAACATTGGCTCCGCGGTCGACAGTGGTGTAGGCGGAGTAGTAATATGTATTAAAGACTTAAATGCGTAACGGAATTGTCTAGGCGACAGGTTGTTCGGAAAGGAATTGAAGAGAGCATCAACGTAAGTTGGGATGAATCTAGCGGTCAATTTTGTGTTCTGAGGAGCCGAAAGTACTGCAAGAACGGCGCTGTGAGCAGCCTCAAAGATTTCCAAAAAGCCGGGATGAGCTGTTGGATTGAGATAAGGGGCTGCCACACTAATGATTAAACCCTCGTTGTCAGGCGGACTAAGAATATTTGTTAAGTGCTCGCAAGTATTAAGATAAAATAGATCGTGGTTGCGCTGCAAAGGGTTATTTGGAATTTCGCCTGCTTGCGTGGGGTATATAGCTATGAGAAGCTCTCTTGATTCGAGAGGATAATTAGATAGGATGTCGAGAGAAGACAAATTAACGAAAACATATGCAGAAAAGGAATTCGAGCCAAGTCGAGACGAAATAAAGTGAATGTTTCCAAGAATGATAAGGGTTTCAGAAGCTCCTATCGGGGCAAGGCGTCTTGTCGACAGGATAGGGTCAAGCATAGTTCTTCCCATAAGACCTTGCAGAATGACAACAGTAGCAAACATAGCGCTCTTCAACACCTGCCATAAGACTGGTGCGGTTATTTGGAGTGTTTCGGGAGTTAGAAAGGCCGCCTCCTCAGATGGATCAATTTCCGACAACTTGTTCCTCTTCCAGCCTTCTAAAAGTCTACCCGAGAACGAAAGAAGATGCTCTCGAATTTCTATCGCGAGTAAAGAGTTGCTCATATTTTCGATTGCATATGCGATGAGTCTCGAAAGTGGCCCCATGGACGACAGTATTGGGCTTGATGCCTGCTTTTGTAGTTGTAAAAAAGAGGAGGATATGGACGACCAATCAAACTTATCTCCCGGTACTTGCTTGACATCCGCATCGATATTTTGTAAGAAAATACCGTCCTGATATCCCTCCAGTGCAGTTACCGACCGTACCATTATCATGACTAAAGTATCATAATTCAAACCCGCACGCACTCCGTCTGACAACAGGGGGAATGCGTGATTCAGAGCTAAGACGATAGATTCTGCTGCAAGAATCCCATCTCTCATTGGATTCTCCAGTGCTAGGTTGGCCGCCGTTACTAATGCTCGCTCGAGTGTATACCTGAGTCCGCTAGAGAGCCCATGCCTTCCTCCATTTTCCATGCCTATTAACACGCCAGCGATCACCAGAAGATGCTGCCATCTTGGCGACCTATCATCCGCGCCTTTAATCACTGATCGAGCCCAATCATCAGAACCAATCCCGCCCCCTTTCCGAGGTTGGTATGCATCGTACGGTGGATGCTCGTTATGACTTTCTACTTCATTTTTGCACACCGTAATGGCAGCAGTATTGAAGACACTGATGATTCGGAGGCATATTCGTAGGCCATCGGTATTGTTCCATATAGCAGGCGCAGTAAGAAGATGTGATGTCAGAAGACTTATGTTCAAAGGGTTCGTAAGAGTGGTAAGTAGAGAGGTCGTCGTCCCAAGGATTCTGTCCGTTTGGGCTGGGTCAGGCACGCCTTGGTATGCGCGTAACACAGTCGTAAGAAGTCTATCTGCCGGCATCTTGAACTACTCTACTTATTTCAACAGTACTTCAAATCATTGTGAGGCTCGTATTGATATATAATATCCAGATATTGAAGGTGATATGTGATGGATGATGTGTTAATGATGGAATGGTGCTTGACAGCCGAGGTATATCAATTCAGCCTTGTGTTGCGCACTTGGAGGGTTCACAAGGCTAATAAATGTTGAGTATTATTTTTACAGTCACACTGCACTTGTCACACCGCGTTAAACGACTACAGCTTCCATACATTCCGTTCCCTGATGATGGGCTTTTCGCCCCGATAAATTATGCCCCTTCTGAAGTGAGTCGCATTAGGAAATTAAAAAGAATGGTCATGCTAATTGAAGTTCGCAGTACTCGGATCGATAATCCGGCACCTCTCGACTATTCCACGCCGCCGTTTCCATCACTCTATTGGCCTCTCCATACCAAACCTGGAATTCCAAACTACCTCTACTATGCTCATGACATTTGGCGATTCACTTTACTATGGACACTCATTGTGTACGGAATCACGCACATTGCTGTAGCTGCTTGTGCCGTTGTAATGCAACTGGGAAAAGGGAAAAACGCCTGGCAATATGCTTGGATTATACCACTGGTGTACGCTGCAATAGGTGGAATTGAAGCCTTGCTGGCGGGAAGTCTAGTTGGATTGATGTGGGTATTGTCTCGCAATTTGCAGAGAAGCTTCCTCTTTTTTGCTAATTTGGTCCCTCCTAGACTCGGTGCCATTTACAATGCAGGATATTTTCAGATGTCAACATGGATTCCGTTCATATGGGCATTGATCAATGTTTTAGTCTTGATTATATCTTCTTTCTCAATACAGGGTGGTCTATGAGGCACCAGATATTTCAATGATGCATACTTCTTTTGCAAGATGAAAGTAATTATGAGCTGGAGCTCTATCCATCTCTGAGCAATCAAGACTTGAGATTTGGATCTGGTTCTTTTGGCTCGATCTTTTTAATGATTTTCGCTGGATTACCAGCTACGACATGGAAATCTGGAACATCTTTCGTCACGACACTTCCAGCACCCATGGTACAACCTCGACCGATGGTTACTCCAGGGCAAACTGTAACGTTGCCTCCGAACCACTGGGAAAGTGTTAGCATCGATGATACCTATTAAGAGTACACATGGATTGAGTTGATGAACAACATTGATATCGCGTCAAACATTTGTAGAAATACGTACGCAGTCTTCTCCAATTGTTATGGGTGCCCCAAGCTCCGGGCCATGAACACCATTGCGAAGGAAAGGATCTAATGGATGCATGGCAGCATAGAACGAACAACTTGGCCCAATTAGAGTACGAGCTCCTATCGTGATCAGACAGGTATCGAGAAATACGCAGTTAAAGTTGATGTAGACTCCTTTGCCAATCCTGTGGAGGATTAGTACTTCCTCAGAATGTGGTTTCACAGTTTGCGGCCTACCTCAGGTTGGTTCCATAGTCTACATTGATAGGGCCATCAATATATGGTTCATCTCTTAGGACATAGAAGTCTTCTTCATCTGTGGCTCCCACTTGAGGAAGAGGAGTCTTGTCATTGATGATACTGGTATCGTTAGGTTTTGCACTACCACTCAGCTAGAAATGAATGCTTACTCTCTCCACATCTCTACCAGCTTTCGCCTTGAGGCATCACCGGCGTTGTTGAATCTTTTGCAAGCCCAATGACATCTTATAGAAGATCAATTATCAGCTGTACTCGGGGAAGAGACTCTGTTCAATGGAGTATCTGATGGCTGATTTATTCCTGTCTTTCTCTTACCTGTTTCGCTTTTCAGTGAGGTTTGGTACGAATGCATGATAGAGCTCCCCGTTCAGCATCTTGGATTCATTTTCAACAGGGTCAACGGCCTCCATGATTAGATTATGATGTGGAAGTGTAGTGTTAATAGGTAGTCAAAGGGTATTCAATTAATGGAATATTTGGGTCAGAGATGAAATCTGTCAAAGTTGGATCTTAAGTGAGCAAGCAAATCATGTCTTAGCTCTCTTACTGCCGAGCCTCTATATTCACCTAAACCAAGAGCTCCACTTTGCCTGACAGTTGGAAAGCGTTTCCAGCACTTCTTCGTATGCGGACTCGATGAATACCTTAGTAATCATCTACTTACGAGCTTCGGTCCTCGGAAAGATACGAGATCATGGTGGGGGTGGCCAGAAGAGGGGGCTTAACTCTTTCATAGGAAAGGGGAATAGGTACCCGAGTGCCTGGGTAGGCAATGAGCTTAACTTGGAGAGTCTGTATGTATATATTTACTTTGCAGTATGATGAATCGTGACCAAGTACCAAGGTACACATAACTCATGAACATAACTCAAGCATCCAATTCTCTACTGAATATGTAATGAACATTACCTAGTTACGTGCCTAGGTAGATGACATCTGAGAAATATCTAGAGCTATTTGAGCGGTCAGTAAACCTAGGTAGTGAGACTATGTTGTACGGAATGTTGTCACATGCTTCTTTGTTAAACCGACTAGGAAGTACCAATGGATATCGAGGTTTCCAAAAATCTTTAGGAAAAAGGTAACAATCCCCCCTCGAAATTCCCTCTCATTCTTCACCAAGGACAATATGAAGAAACCGTTATGAAGGTCATGTACGAATAAAGGGAATCGTATTTGATTGTCCCCATTTCTTATAATTTTTCGTGATTTCGTTTCTGTTTAGTTATCGATACTGGATCTCCGTGCTTATATATTACTTAACCCAGCCTGAAATATATTGAATTAACCACCAAGCTTCAAGCTTCTGACTCCAAGCTTCCATTGCACTCATTTGATTGTTTGCGACTAGTATCTTTGTGATTATTGCTATCATAATCATGTCTACAGATGATACGACTAATGCCATTCGTGGATCAGCGTCAGCGGATAGCTCCCCCGAACAATTGAGGAGCACAGCGAGCACAGCGAGCACACCCGGCGCAACTCGTCGACGTCCATGGGATGTAATACAGAACGGCGGCGTTGCCCCTCGAGCGCGAGTCGGACCCAATCGAGAACAACTCGCAGAGATACCTAGCATCGACGAAGCCATCACTCAATTCGAGAAGCAATTCTTTCCCGGCCAACCTAAATCTCTATCGGGAATCGCATTGCGATCTTTCCTCGTTGGTATCGTCCTTACGATTTCCATGTTCGCTACCTTCTACCTCTTCTTCGTTACCGATTCGATATTCTGGCGCATCCCCTTCTTCATCTCCTCTCTCGCAATCTTCCATTTCCTCGAGTTTTGGACCACAGCGAGATACAATACCCCCGAAGCATCTATTTCCTCCTTCCTTTTCAGCGGCAACGGTTCCGCATATAACATTGCGCATAGCGCTGCCGTCACAGAATTTCTCATCACCAATACATTTTTCCCCAATGGATCCTCATACAGAATCTTTGGCCTACAGGTCCCCCCCTCCATATCCTTGTTTAGTTCCCGAACCCAAAATATCATTCTCGTTCTCGGTCTCATTCTCATAATCCTAGGCCAAACGATCCGATCAGTAGCCATGGTGCAGGCTGGCAGGAGCTTTAATCACATTGTTCAATTCACTCGATCGCGTACTCATACACTTGTTACAACTGGTTTATATGCATGGTTGCGCCATCCCTCGTATTTTGGATTCTTTTGGTGGGGATTGGGTACACAAATGGTCTTGGGAAATTTCTATTGTTTCTGGGGATATACGCTTGTTTTGTGGATGTTTTTCCATAGGAGAATTAAGGGGGAAGAGGCTTTGCTGATCAAGTTCTTTGGGGATGAGTATGTGCAGTATCGGCAGGTCTCATGGGTGGGAATTCCTTTCATCTAGATTTACAGTGTAATGCATGCAAATCTTGAAATTTATTCATGGTCATGTTGGATGTGAACGATAGGTTTTATGCTCAGAAACGTATGGGATGGTAGTATATCAATGTTTGAAGGGTTTCCTGTCTTTTGCGTCACTTGCCGATCGCGTTCAGAAATAATGGAAAGTGGGCGAATCCATCGATCTTGCAAGGGAAGACTTGAACGATTTTTACGGCTTGCATCGACTGGGTAGTTATAAGGGAATGTTCACCACTGATATTTTGGGATAAAAGTTCTGTACAATATCAATGATAGCCAAGCATTGTGGCTTCTCTATTTTTGTGTCTAATTGCTACAGGAAGTGTAGTAGTTACATATGCTGGGAGCCGCCAAGCTCATAAATTTTTCAATTCTACTTGTATCTAAAGACTGAATGAAGTAAGGTGCTGTTAAAACAATCGACATTTCTGTGATCTGGACTGCCATTATTTGACCTGCTTGCTAACACTCCCGTATTTAGCTTGCCACGCGAAAAAGTAAAGTAATGCAGCAAGGGGTTGTCCAACCAGGGTGAAAGATACCCAAAAGATACAGTTTCCAATGATCTTCCCATTTATGCCGTTCATTTTTTCTAATGGCGTCGTGATAGCAATGAGTGGTAGCTGTGCCATCATGCCTATAAATGCAACGCCTAAAGATTGTTAGCGGATAACAGCACAAAATCACACGGTGAGCCTACCAATCATGTTGTGTGTCGGTACGCCCACCATCAATTCATGTAGAATGGCGGAGAATGTAAATACCGCAACACTCGCTGAGTATGGACTCCAGCCCCTGCCTACGAGGGGCGAGAAAACGTGTCGTTTCATGAATTGATAAACAGGCTTGTTCCAAGTTCTCCAATATGTTCCCACGCTGGGCGAGTTCCACCAATCATCATAGAAGTTCCTATCCCCAAATGTTGTGACTTCTGCAAGAACGTTCAAAAAAGATTGGAATAACGCGAAGAATCCTGCTAGCCATATGACCAGAGATATCGTAGACAGCTTCATCAACCGTTCGAGGATTGAAGGAAGATCTAGAGATGCCATCTTATCCAAGGAGTTTTGAAGGACAGGGGCTGCGTATTGTGCGCTAGCAACCCATATGAAAATGCTCAGACCAAAAACTTCTGCCAACCTCTTACCTACAAAAACCCATCTAATCTTGTTTGTCCGAGGATATACGGGTTGGTAAACCAATGTTGGAACCCACCAAAAGTATGTCAGGTTATTCAGCGTGATATTCTGTGGGTAGGGACATTTGTTGTATATTTCTGGCAGTGCATCTTCCTCTTTACTAGAGGGGTGGAGATAAGCATGTCGAAGATCGCGGCAGGTGAATGCATAACTATACGTTTTCAACCAAACAATGATTGCGTGTGCCTCGGTTATTGTGCCTATTAGAGGGTGATGTATGAAGAAGTAAACAATTATGGATGTGATGAGTAAACAGAGCGTGATGTTCAGTCCATGTATCCAAGCTATTACTTTCCAAGTTGAATGGAACTTCTCATGTTCGGCCTGGGTAGCAATATAGCTACCGCCTGGTGTGGCAGTTCCAGCTCTCTTTTTGCTTCCCCTTAGTGATGCTCTAGCTTGTTGCGCGGCAGCGAGTTCGACAACGTAGGCGACAAAAAGATGGCATGGAATTATAAAGTACAGAGCAGCTCCTAGTATGAGATCTTGTCTGCGATAATCGTGACATCTTAAACATATCAAAACTCCATACTATCGAGAATTGTTAGCTGCATTCGATGAAACCAGGGTTTGATTGTGAAAGCCAAGCTAAAGATCATAACATCGGCGTTGTCAAAATAAGCAGAGAATCAAGGCATTCGGACAAAACTTCGTGACCCCTCTTTTCCCTCTTAAGCCCCCAATTCTTCCTTCAACTGAGAACAATATATGACTGGGAGGAGATATACCTTTCGAATATTTTCCAACATCAATCGCAGATTTGAGATCAGTAAAACAAGCACCATCAAATTTCTAAATCCAAGAAAGCTGGGTGCGGCATCGCTTTCATGGCTAAGACATGATG